GTATCTAAACAGCTTGAAGACTTCTTGAGGAGTAAAACACATAACAAGTACACCTTATCACCACAAGACTAATCCAGGATGATCAGAACATTAAAATTTACTATGAGTGGTTAACATTATAAAATGATAAAGAATTGGCTCTACTTCAGATTATACATTCGACAATAAAATAATTACCTGCCCAAATGTTGTTTGAAATAATATTCGAAACATTTTTTGACCAAGGTAATTTATCTATTAGAGTTGATAAATAAAAATACTTATATAGTTACATTTATTTTGAATTAATAAAATTATTTCACATATCAATATTCAGGATATATCAATATTCAAACAATAAACACTCGATAAAAAAATATGTGGCACAGGATGAATATATATACCAAGATTATTAAGGGAAAATATTTGTTGAATCTTCCTATTTTATAAATATTCGACATTTTATCAAATTTTAATAGATTAATAATATTTTATAAATTTTATTTTAGTATGTTTATAATATTATAACAACATAAAGCAATAAAACAGGGACCTGTAGAGATAGGCATTTTAAGCATGCCTTCTATCAAGCCTACCATTACCCAGGATTTTCTTGATTTGGCCTTAACTTTCATTATAGTATTTAAACTGCCCAGCACAAATTTTTTTAAAATTTTGCTATTTTGAATAATTTTGCAATTTGTAAATGAATATTACCCTCCATTATATGTTTTTAACTGATTGATATAATTTAATTTTCCTTTTTTTTAAAGTCGCATATTTTTAATTTTTTTAAAACCCGGCCCAATTTTTAAATTCGTATACCACTTTTTTTTATAACTCGAAAAGGTTTCGATCCTAGAAAAATTATAAAGTCTTCTCCTAGAATCAAGGACAACTTAATACTTTTTGTTTTAAATCTCATTTAGGTATCGGTGATAAAGATGGAGCCGAATATTTGCCCATGGCCCCCAAAAATAAACTTTGAACGTTGATTTATACACTTTCTTCTTAAAGATTGATTAGTCCTTATTTTTAGATAGTTTTATATATTTCTATTTGATGGTGCCAGCTCATGTTAGGGTATATTCCCAATCATATAATTTATTCTTTCACCTTATAAATTTGACGAAGTGAATCCTGAAGGGAGTGGCAGATAGCCTGTCAAAGGATAATGAGGTTAATCAGGAATTGTATCTTTATTTTGAGAGGAGTAAATCAGAATCTCGCCTTTATTTTCATAAGTCATGAATTAGAAATGTTCTTATAATTTCCCATGTAGGTTAAGAATGAAATTGCTGAATTTATATTAGTTTCTGTTGTGGTCAATATTATCCATGTTGGTTTAGTATAAAATTCTAAGTCTAAGATATTTTCTTTATTTTTATTCATCAATCATCAATATACATAATCACTAAAGTTCTACAAATAATATTCATATAAGCATGTCTTTTTTTACCAAAAAATTGTTCTTTATATATATCCATAAAAAAAAATAATAACAATCAATGGCAAAATGAAAAATAAAATGTTTTTTGTTTAAAAGCGAATTTTAACTTATAAGTTATTAAATAACAAAAAATAAAATAAAGTTATTTAGTATTGAGTATTTATTAATTTTTTTATTTTCCACGCTAGAAAAGGTAAAAAGTTCTAATTTTGTTAGGTTATATTGTTTTCTATGTTGAGAATGAAGATAAGATATTCACGGCCAATTTACAAATTCGCATCTCTTTTATTATTATTATATTTCTCTAGAATTTTCTATTCCAAGTTTTAAATAAATTTTTTTATAATATATATATATATACATTTTATTCATTTAAATTATTTAAAAAAATATATTCATCATTTTAAAATATTATTTTTTTTTTAAAGTAACTAAATAAGCAACTCTTTTTAGCTACCAAAAAAGTAGCGGCGTTATTAATTAGCTAATTTATTATAAATGTAACGTCGCTAGCTAACGCCACTATTGTAACTATTGGCGGTAGAAACAAAAAAAATGTTAAAGCCGATTTGTTCAACACTTCTTTAAATATGGTCTTATGGTAAAACAGTCCGGATAAAACCAAAATTAAATATTGCAGGCCGGAATTGAAAATTGGTATTTTTTAAAAAAAATTTGAGTTGGACTTGAAAGTTAAGATTTTTTTTTTCTGTAAATCGAATTTTAAATTTAAGTTTTTTGAAAAATAATTATAAATGATTTTATTTTATATTAATAAACTCACATCCAAATTACTTTTAATTCTTTAGATTTAAATAAAAAATTGATTCAAATTTAGACGGGGATAGGAGAGTTGAGATTTATTTACAAGGCTAAGGTCTCCTCAAAATTCCCCATTTAGCTTACGACTTTGTATACTTCTTATTTTAAAAAAAAATAACTAATCTGTGTTGGTCACCAATTAAAATAAAGTTCGGAAATTTTTCCTAATTCCTTTACCGAGATTTACAAGAAAATAATATTTTCCCTTTTAAAATTGTATAATTATTTTGTTCGTTAATTTATTTATAAGAAGTTTCTTGTTTTTGATAAATTTTATATGCACAATATAAAGTCCAGAATTACAATTATAAAACATTTTTTTCTAATGCATTAAGATCCATCATTATATTATTATAATTCCATTATCCTCGTCAAATATCAAGTAAAATTTTTAAAATTAAACAAATTAAGAATTCCTGTAAAAATAAATAAATATTAAAATAGGTTTAAAATCGAATTTTCCAAATTTTATGGATAGATGACATGCTCCCACTTTTTCCAACCATTGTCCTTATATATTGCTAATATATTACAATAACCTTTTCTTAAATTACTTATCGTTGGGCGAGTATTCAAATTCATGTTAAAGTTATTAATAAATCAAGGGTTGTGTTAAACGAATCCACATTTACATTTTTGGTTTTAATAACCACTGTCACATATGGTTTACATATATAAATGACTATTAGTTCAGAGATATTTGAAAATTCCGGTTGAAGCGCGAAGGCTACCGGATTCGATTTTCAGTTTTGAACAAATTTAAAATAAGACCTCATAGATTTAGAGATTATATAATAAAAAATGGTTTAAACAAGATTTCGCACTGGTGATCTAAAAAAGAAAAGTCAAATACCGTCTCATTCAATATAACATATAAAATAAATAAAATTTAGGAAAAATAATTATATTCTGTCCAAAATTTTTTTTAGAAATAATTATGAAAGGATTTTATTTTCTCAGATATAAATATATTTCTAACATTCTGATAAATGACATTAAAATCCTTGAATCAGTAAAATAAAATTTAATGATGAATGTGTGCAATAATTTAAAAATAAATTGAAGAGAAGTAATTTTATAAATAAAAATTTAGAGATCTGCAATGTCCGTCATGAAAACCGCCATATTTAAAAAAAAAATTAGGATGTGTTGGAGAACTTGTGACAAATGCTATTTTTTTACTAGATCGAGCTAACAAATTTGTTCAAAATTTTAAGCTGAACCTGCCCATTTTGCAATTTTTTATAACTAAGATAAATACAAACTTATTATGACGTTTACCTTCACATAATCACGAACTGTAGTGTTATTAAAAAGCCCGATTCAGATAGATTTTTTAAAAAAACGGCCAGATTAAGATTATAACTAAAATGAGATTATATAAGCCTAAAGATTTTGCTCATAGCTGGAAATACTTGGACATCTATTTACCAAATCTCGATGCTTAAATAATATTATTTAGGCTAAAATCCTAATCGGTCGGTTTTGAAAAATAGACCCAAACGGGTTTTTTAAATAACACTAACGGACTGGAATAAACTTGTGGAAATCTCTTTAAGAGACAAGCTTAGCCGGACAAGGAATTTTACCAGCCCGACCTGGATGGGCAAATTTTTTTTGAACTAGGCAAAAATTATAGGGGGCGGATCAAAGAATAAAATATGAACGGGCCGAGACATACAGCGCTCAAATTATAGTACCTTGTTCTTTAGGTATTACAATATAAAATGTTTCTTAATTTATTTTGTAGAAATCCAAATATAATATCTAACTCCATTCTAATTTCACTCACTCTAGAATTCTTTCTACCAAATTTTTCTCAAATTATAGTACCTTGTTCTTTAGGTATTATAATATAAAATGTTTTTAAATTTATTTCGTAGAAATTAAAAAATAATATCTAACACCATTCTAATTTCACTCACTATAGAATTTCTTTCTAATACCAAATTTTTTTAACCTCTTAGATTTACAATTTTTCTTTTCCTTGTTTTATAATTGCACCAACTAAAATTAGTGTTCTTATAACTCTTTTTTTATATAAAAACAATAATTCAATTCAAAATCTAGTTGCAGAACTTTTTTATATTTTTAATTCACCATGCGGTGTAAAAAAAATATTAGCAGAATCAACCTAATCACAATCAAGGTTCTTAAATCTTCTTTCCAATAAAAAAATCTTAATCCAGATTATAATTGAGTTGTTGATGTTGATTTTAAAAAACATCTATATTTGTGGAGTAAAAAATAATAACAAAACCAACTTTTAACTAAATCAAAAAATATTAGAACTCTCATCAAGCAAAAAATTTGTTACATTGAAAGTAAAATTTTTTTTAAATTTATTTGAAAAAACTAATATCGGCCCTGACTTTTAATTTTGAAGTTATGGCTAACAACTGTTAAATCTAAAAATAATTATCTCGTGGAATCGAAATAAATAATAGATATTCAAATTTTATTCATGAGTGGGTCTATTTAACCTTGTTTACTAATCCTTCGTTGGCTAGATCACACTATTCTCTACTATGGTCATTTAGTCAACCCGATTTATTGTTTAACAACACTAATATCATCACTATTTATTGTTTGCCTAGGAAACAAAATACCACTTTTGTATATTTTATAATAAATAAATATATATCTTAATATAGCTTAAGAATCAATATAATATTTATAAATTAATTGAATGTAATTTTTAATATTATTAAATTTAAATTAGAGTGACATGCGAATTTAGTTAATCTGTGTTCGTTTTTCTTTTTTAACCGCCATCGTTTTCGCCTAATGTTATTTAGTAATAAATTTTAATGATAAATATTTTATATATATAATATATTAATTAATTTCTTTTCTAGTGATCAAGTTAGATGTTTCAAATCATAAGTTAAGGAATACGGATAATTTAATTTGCAGATATTTAATAAAAAAAATTTTGATTATAAGTTCAACTATTTTGTTAATTAATGCTTTAATGTGAAGATTTATATTGTACTTTTAAGATATTTATATTAATATATTTTAATGAGATTAGGTTTTTTTTACTAGAAGAGGTTATGCAATTTAGCTATTAAATGTATCCCACCATGTTCTGCAACTGAGGTTATGGCAGTCATGTATAATTATCTTATGATAAAGCATATCAATAGATGTACAACTATTATGTATGAGATACAACAAATTGTTTCTAATTAGGTATGATTGAGAATTTATACTCAATCTTTTTGCAAACTTATTTCTAATTGTTTGAAAATTGGAAAATAATGATATCCTTATGCAAAATTATGTTTTGTGTAAAATTAACTTTTTTTATTAAATTTACAATTTTAAATGAGTTAATCAAAAAAAATTTACATATATAATACACTTTCTTTAGTATTAATTTGTTATCTTTTTTTATAATTAATTAAGAAATTGAATTGAGATATTCTGAATATCAATTGGTATTGGTTCAACAAATATGTTTTGAAGATAAAGATCCAACTTTTGATGTATTAGAAATATATATAATTTAATTAATGAGTTTAAATAATTTTAAGTTTATCATAATAGACATAAATGCATATACACCTATATTTTATTTCACTAAAATTATTTCAATGGTTATCATTTAAGTTTTAAATTTCTGTTTCAATTGATCATTTTATAAACATCTTAGACATTTTTATCGAATTTACTTATAAATTTTTTTTAGAATGGATAGACGCATTAGCATTTGTCAAAGATGGACCCATTATCGATCTGAAATGGATTATTAAATAATTTTAGAGATTAGTCACAGGTTCGACTCAGGAATTGATGATGTATAAATTATAAGTATTTATAATAACGGTTAAAATATTGTTATATTTACTTATCTAATAAAATGAACTTAAATATACTATGTTGTTCAGTGTTATACAAGTGTTATTCATCAAATAAATTATTTAATATATTAGTACATAAGATAATTAAATTATAAAAAATATTATCAACTATTAGGAACTTACATTGATAATATTATAAATTTTATAAATTAATAACTGATATATATATATTTAGAAGGAAAATTAAGCTTTTAAACATCTATTACGTATTTTAGTTTTTTACATAGTTAATTAAGTTATATTCAATAGAGTACTTTTATAGTATATAAATATAAAATTAAATGCGAATCCTTAATTTATAATTTTTAAACATAAATTAAATGGCCGAACAATTTTTACAAACACTACCACTAATTTTCATATCGACGAAATAAGATGTAGCATTTTAAAATATATATTAACATTTTTATTTTTTTGTATAAAGGTGCCGATGAATAAAAAAAATGCATCATTGGTGGCATATGACGATGTTAGTTCTGATGATGATAGGCAATCCCAAAAGAAAAAAGATTTGGCAACAGATAAAGAAGTACAGTTATCACCTATCTCACATTGCTCGTCAGTTTCCAATGAAAAGATTGATTCAAAATCAGCAAAAAAATGCCACAAACACAAAAAAAAGAAAAAAAGGCACAGGGATGAAGAGGAATATTTAACAAAAGAATCTAAAAAATCTAAGCCAAATACAGATGAAACTCATAGGTCCAATAATTTTTCTTACCAAAATTCTGAACAAGAATCAGATAATATCATTCATAATAAATCAACTGAATTTGAGAGAACCCCAAGCCCATATTTTTCCAAAGGCAATATTCTAAAGAAGTAATTATTGGCATATTGATAACTAAATATTATTTTTTTTAGGGAGAAAGTATATCAACCAAATTTTAAACATGATGATTCAGCCAGATATCCTAAGACACACAACTCTTTAACTGAAACTAAGGAGAAAAGATACAAATCTTCATATCATGAAAAAAATATTAAAAATAAACATGAAAAATATTCAAAGCATAAATCATATATTTCATCACCAATTAAATCACCATCTCATTCACATGATGATCAAAATATGAATATCCAAACAAATGTTGCATCTCCTATTAACTCTGAACATTATTCTCATAGAAGTGAACCATTTGATCCTCCTAAAAAATCAGCAACCAAAAGCTTAGTTGATGAAAATTTTAGAAGTCCGAATTATAATAAGCACAAAAAGAAAAATCATAAAAACAAAGATTCATTAACACGTACTTCCCATGAAGATGACAAGTTTGATAAACAAAAAAGTAAAATTTCTTCACATTCCACTAAAAAGAATAAGGATAATAAAAAGCGGGATAAAAAATTGGATCCCTCTCAATCTCAGTCTTACAGACAATCTGATGAAACCCTATACTCTGAAAGTTATACGGCTAATAAAAATGATGCAATAATGGAGGAGAGTGAAACAGAGGCAATGGACAAAAAATACAGAAGTAAAAATAAATCTAAAAAGGGGAAATCAAATAAAAAACATCGCCATTCATCTAGAAGAAATCACTTTTCTTCTTCACATAGGAGTCACTATATGCATGTGCGTACTCAGTTTAGTGATAGTTTAGCAGCTGAGATAAGAAAGGATAGGGAGGCTCTGAAAGCTCTAACTACACTCTCGAAAGAACCATCAAAGGAGGGTGAAATTGAAACAAAAGAAATGGACAATGAAAGGAATATTGGAATGAAAGATGTTATAAATGTGGAAAAGTTTAAAGAAACATTACCTGATGTTAATAAAAATGATAATGTTGAGCTAGGCACTCAAAATGAAAATATTAAGAAAAAGCATATCAATCCAGATAATATTCACAATAAACTCGAAATTGGACCCAATGGTCACCCTATAGTCAATGTATCCATTCCCTTACACCATGACCTTAAAATAAAGAATGCTAGTATTACTCAATTTAATTCAAGTACAGAAGAAGTATCAACTATGCAACAGGATATTGTAAAAGATGATCACATGACAAAATTAGTTAAAACTATTGAAACAGACAAGAAATGTGAATCACCCCTTACCGTGGTTAATAAAATTACAGATCTGCCTCTTCCACCCATGGATTTCGAAAATGAAGATACCATAGTTGAGGTTGAAAAGAAAAGCTTTCAGATATCCAAAGTGCATGAGCAGTCATCCTATCATTCTTTTTATAAAGGGAAGTTTAGAAAATCTAGCCATGAATCTTTTGATATTGACAATAGGGACATGAGGAAACGGATAAAGTAAATTTATTGAGTTTAAAGATTTATTTTGCACTCATTATTTTTGATATTCTTATTAAATATATAAGAAGATTCTATCATATGATATTAAAAATATTTTAGGCTTAATTTATTTAATAAAAAAATATCTCTTTATTTATAGGATACTTGAAAAGAATAATATTCAAACACACACTTGGGGCAATAAATATATAGATATGTATGATATAATGACACAGATTGGTGAAGGAACCTATGGACAGGTGTATAAAGCTAAGGATACCTTAAATGGTAATTTTAAAAATGTATAATATTAATTAGAAAATTCCTCTAAAATATTTTTTAAATTTAAATAATTTTTCTAGAATCTTTCTTAAATTGTAGATTCACACCATCAATTTTTATAATATAGTATTATTGGGTTTATTTAGGCTCTTATATTTTGTATTACAGCTCATATTTATAGGCTGAGATTGATTTTAAAACCAAATTAACACTTTTTTTAGTGAACAAATTTAAATTATAGTTTGGTTTTATATTAGCTGGATAAAAACTTTATTTTTTGAATAACACATTCAGGTGACATAGTAGCCCTCAAGAAAGTGAGACTTGAAAACGAGAAAGAAGGCTTTCCCATCACTGCAGTCAGGGAAATAAAAATTCTTTGTCAATTACAACACCCAAACATTGTGTGTTTAAAAGATATTGTGACTGACAAGCAAGATGCCCTGGAATTCAAGAAGGATAAAGGGAAAGGTAATACAATTATATTTTAAGGTGTCATTTGTTACCCTTAATAAGAGAAGAAAAAAAGAGCATTTTTTAGGGCTTTTTTGGGTTTTATTTTTAAAGCTTAAATCGTTTATTAGCATGCTATTTTTAAAAAAAATTTTAATGAATTTGCATGAATCATTTGTATTTTAGCATCATGCATGGAATTCATCACCTCATGAATTTTTGAATACCATTGGTTTAATCATCGTTTAAAATCTATATAAATGATTTAAACCAAGACTGTGAACTTTCCTTCTATAAAAGGTTTCATGTATGGGTTCTGGTTCATGTGGGCTCAATGTTGGTGGTCCTGAAAAATAAAAACTTATAAAATTTAGAAAAATTAAACAGAATATCAGTTATTTATAAACTTTATTTTACTATATTTAATCCTTATCATAAATATTATTTATCATTATAATTAAAATATATACGAATTATCATGGTATCTTATAAAATCGAGATGTTAAAATTAAAATATCGATTTTTATGCCTAACTTTGACAGTGCATTGCAACTTGCAATTAATAAAACTATTTTATCTTTTGTCTTGTCTATAATTTAATAATCAAACAAATAAAATTTAATATTCCTAAAATATCTATTATTAAAAAAGTTACAAAATGTGCTGTTATAATTTTTACATAAAATGAATGGAGTACTCTAAATTATAATAAAAATGTTTCACCCAAAATAATTTCACCAAAAAATGTTTTTATATGAAAAATAAAATTATGTTAAATGTATTAAATGATTTGCATTTTTTTTATATATAATTTTTATTTAGTTATTTATAGTATATTTTTATAAAAATAAAGATTTAATATTTAGAATAAAATTAGTGAATCCCAGTTTGGGTTCAGTAAAATATTGATTGGGATCGAAGGGTTCTAGTTCACAGCTCAGATTTGAACTTTAAAAATTTGCTAAATACCTGTAATAAATATTAGATTTCTTTTTAAAATCTGCTAAACGAAATTTTATAATTAGAGATCTGCAAGTAGGTCTGGCCCATACACAGTAGGCCAGGTCGGGCCTATTTTTTAAAAGAATCTAGTTTGGGCTGGGTTGGGCCAAATATTTTTTTTAAAAAATAAAGGCCGTGTCGGGGTCTTCTAAATTCTTTTAAATATATCATCTAAATTTATCAATTTTATATTAAATTTTATGTGTAAAATTATAAAAATTAATTTGCATATTTAAATAAATTTGGACTGGGCTGGTAAATTTTTTTAAAAAAAAATTCAGGTTTGGGCCTAGCTGGTAAAACTTTTTTAGAAAAATTAGGCCTTACATATCACTAATTTTGCCCATTCTATATACAAATTTTTCACTTAAATTTATTAGGAAAAAAGTTATTTATTCTTTTATCTAAATAAAATTACTTATATTTTTGCTCATAATATAAGGATCATTCTACCTGGTATTTGAATACATGGATCACGACCTTATGGGGATCCTAGATTCTGGTCTGGTCACACTCAAAGAAGAACACATCGCCTGTTACATCAAACAATTGCTGGATGGACTTTATTTTTGTCATTCTAGAAATTTCCTTCATAGAGATATAAAGGGCTCCAACATTTTGCTCAATAACAAGTTAGTCTTTTTTTTCCTTTTGCAGCATGATAACTCTTAGAAATTGAAGTGTTTTGGGGTTTTCAAATGATCCGTTTATTTGTTAACTTATGTTTTTCACATATTTTTAAAACAAAAATGCAATTTTAATTTAAACAAAGAAGGCTTTTTTTAGAAAAACCTAAACACTTACACTCAGTTTCTAAGAGCTATTAGTATTTTTTTACAAAATCAGATTATATTTAGGTTTCTTCTATCAATTTCATTATTGATAACTATATAATAATTTAAAAAAAAAAAAAATTAGCCAGATTTTATGTTTTTGTTTGAACTAAAAATATGATATTTTAAGGAAAAATAATAATTCTTTTTATAAATTAAACAATCTCATATCTGAAAACGAAAAATGCCTATCTTTCATATTACAATTAGTCCTTTGCTTATTCATATAAAATTCAGCAAAAAAATCAACAACACGATTTTATTTATTATATATCACCAAGCTCTTCCCCCCCCCCCCATTTCTTTTACAAAATTAAGATTTTTGCCAAAATAATATTGAGCAACCCACGAGGTTTCTTTAATAGATATCCAAATTTTTCTGCAATCTATGAGCAAAATACCTATGCTTGCACAATATTTTTTTTGGCTAAAATATTGGGTTTACCGTTTAACAACACTACCCTTTTTATTCAAAAAGCTTTAATTTTTTTTTGTGCTACGATTGTAAGACAGTCCTAAAGGATCTTACTCTTACGGATGGGGATAGAAAAGTCCTAATTGCCTCTGTTTACAATTTGCTATTGAAATTTTTTTTTCGCCTTTATATCTATATTTGCATAGAAAATCATAATGGAATAGAGAATTAATGTAAGTGCAATAATTTTAAAAAGTTGTAATTTATAAAAAAGAATCTAGCAATTGTCTTGATTAAAATAAATAAAGTATATCTGTAAAGGTAATCTTTAATAGAAATACTTAATCAAATACAAGATAATCTTTACAGTGAATATATATCTATATAAATTTAAACTATAAACTATTAAATCATTTAATCTATTCCTTTCCTTCAGTCATGTCCCTACCCTCTCTTGAATTCCCGGGCAATCCTTAATCAAATGATCCTCCTTACCACATTTAAGACATCTTCTATACCACTCCATATTTCTCACTTCACCTACTACATTGCATTCCCTACTGATATGACCCTCTCTGCCACATCTAAAATAACGTATTCCCTTTACTATCTTCCTTCCCAGAACCTCCATCTCAGCCCTTCTTTCCACACGGAATCCTACATTACAATTCCCCTCACATACTCTCCTCACACTTATTCTTCCCATCCAAAACCCCACATAATACACTATTAAAACTATTACTAATACAATTATTGCTAATACATGTAACTGACTAACAGTATAATAGATATATTTGGCCATTTCCACCCTATTACTATAATAAAGAAACTAAAAACTTAATTAAATATATTCTAAAGTACTGATTTGATAATAACAAAATCCCTGTTAAAACTATCAATGTATAAATAATATAACTCATTAATTTTAACAAATTAAACTAATTTAACCTGAATTCTTCTAAATATGCACAAGGTTCCAGGTTTCAAGTACAACTGTAAAGATAATCTTTAATTTTTAGTTTCTTTATTATAGTAATAGGGTGGAAATGGCAAAATTTATCTATTATACTGTTAGTCAGTTACATGTATTAGCAATAATTGTATTAATAGTTTTAATAGTGTATTATGTGGGGTTTTGGATGGGAAGAATAAGTGTGAGGGGAATTGTAATGCAGGATTCCGGGTGGAAAGAAGGGCTGAGATGGAGGTTCTGGGAAGGAAGATAGTAAAGAGAATAAGTTGTTTTAGATGAGGTAGAGAGGGTCATATCAGTAGGGAATGCAATGTAGTAGGTGAAGTGAGATATGAAGGGGTATAGAAGATGTTTTAAATGTGGTAAGGAGGATCATTTGATTAAGGATTGCCCGGGAATTCAAGAGAGGGTAGGGACATGACTGAAGGAAAGGAGTAGATTTATTCATTATATGGCAGATACTAAGGTGACGTAAAGAATAATATTAATTGTGAAATTATTGAAACTTTGAAGATAATTTGAAATTCTTACTCTTTGATGAATATCGTTTGAAATCAATTATAGGAATTCTGAAATAATCTTAAAACATATAAAATTATTTATACATTTCATAGTAAAATTGTTAGAATTTATTGCAGTGTATTTCTTAAAATAATAGTTCTAGATGACTAAAAAATAGGCCAATTAGGCTCTATCTGCAGGTGTGTGCCAATGAAAATCCGGTTTACAGAGCGTGTTAATATGTTTCTGATAGAGATCTGATAAAAACTAGGTTTAGTTTGCTTGAAATTGGATTCTTACCCAACTCTATAGACTGATAATAAACAATATTTGAAAGTATATATTTTTTTTAACACTGAAATCCAACATTGTCATTAAGGTTTCAAAATAAAATATATTTGCTTTATCTTTTTTTCATCTGCTTTTTTTTTAATGAAAAATGATTTTTTTTTATATTTCATCATAAAATTTTTTTACTCTTCTATTTAACCCAAATTATTATTTTTTGCCTAAAAAATCAAAGGGGACAAATTAAGCTAGCAGATTTTGGACTAGCTCGACTATTCAATGCTGACGATAAAGAACGCCCATACACCAACAAAGTCATAACCTTATGGTACAGGCCTCCGGAATTATTGCTGGGTGAAGAGAGGTATGGGCCAGCTATCGATATTTGGAGTTTGGGGTGAGGAAAACAATATTCCATTTCTTTATCGAATACCTATTTTATTTTTTTATTTAGGCACACGTCATCTCTTATGATGACCCTTATTTAAATATAAAAGTACAGCTTTGTTTATGAATGCAAATTTTTCCCTCCCATTGTTTCCTAATGTTCTTTGATGCTCTATTAGTTTTTAGTTCATACATGACAGATGAGTGATGTCATTTAATAGCTTAGCGAATTTATATGACAGAATCTGTATATATGAGATTGATATTTTTTTATTAATATGAATAATTCTTGGATAATTGTGTCGAGAAATGGAATTAAAGATAAAGTTTATATTAACATAACAGAAAATTTGCCTTGTCAAGTCTCATCAAAAGATTATATAAACTCGATCAGCTGTTGTTGAATTGCGTTACATTGCGTCCATGATATGATTGAATGCAAACCTATAAACGAATAATTCAAAATATTTTTACTTATATATTTGTTTACATTTAAATGAACTTACCATATAACAAGTTGTATCCTGGGAGAAATGTTTACGAAAAAACCGCTATTCCAGGCCGGGGTAGAATTGGCCCAACTCGAAACGATAAGCAAATTATGTGGCTCTCCCTCACCTTCTGTATGGCCCAACGTCGTCAATCTCCCCTTCTACCACACCATGAAACTCAAAAAGCCATACAGGAGAAAACTTAGAGAAGAATTTTCTTTGTGAGTTCTTTCTTTTTTTAAAAAAATATTCTATTTTGTGAAATTTTATGTTTTGAAAGACGTTTAAAAAATTAAGGCGTTTTTAAAAAATTAATATTAATATAGTTAATTTATATATGCAAATGTGATATAATTTATTTAGTATATTTATTTTCTAATTTTTTTTGTCTGCAGTGCTCCAGAGATGGCCATAGACCTGCTGGATAGAATGCTAGAACTCGACCCTTCTAAAAGGATCACTTCCTTAAACGCCCTGAACCACCCTTGGCTCATTAACGTTGACTTAAAAAATGCTCAACCTCCCGAGTAAACATTGCTTTAAAATTTTTTATTGAAAAAAAAATAGAGCATAGGCGCCATTAAGGGGAGGTGAAATCTTTTTCTTGTTGGATAAAATTTGGTGATAAATTTAGATATACATCACACAATTGTAACTGGAGGTCAGCATTTGATGGGTTTTCACATACGCCCATTCTTACAGGTGGCCCAGTTTAAAAACGTACCCCATGTGGACCCCTAATTTTAATTGCTTTTTCATATTTTTAAGCCGAGATGTTGAAAAAATTTAATAACCAGCTAAGTTTAGCTTTTATAATAGCATGAAAATGATTTTTGAGTGTTGGTCATTATTTAATTGATGACTGATTGAATGATAAATCTGACTTATAACCAGAAAAGCAAAAGAAAAAAAAACAAAAAATAACTACCACCAAATATCAATTAAATCAAATTAGGACACAGCTTGTATACTTTTTACTTTTAGAAAATAGATTTCAAAAATTTATTGATAATTTTTTATGTCCATTACAAAATTTTATACGCACATAAATAAACATGGTTAACCCCTTTTATGAAATTTTAAAATATATATTACAATATCATATTTTTTTGATTGAGTGACTGACACTCGTAGGGAAAATAATTTTTCATGAATTTACTCCTGATCTCATATCTCCAAAAGTGTATTGCCCACATGCCTTAGCCTTTCAGATATCATAATATAGATTAAAAAGGCACTTACAAAATATTAAATTTATCTATTATGAAATTTTAAAATATATATTACAATATCATATTTTTTTGATTGAGTGACTGACACTCGTAGGGAAAATAATTTTTCATGAATTTACTCCTGATCTCATATCTCCAAAAGTGTATTGCCCACATGCCTTAGCCTTTCAGATATGATAATATAGATTGAAAAGGCACTTACAAAATATTAAATTTATACTTAATACTTATAGCAGAACGTCCTTATTTAAACCATGAAAATGTTTAAAAAAAGGATTATTATCTATTTTAGTTTCCGATATAATCTATGTATTATATATATTTGATACAGGAATTAATTCAATATTATATTTTCAAAGCGAATACATGAATTATCTAGACGATTAAACAGTTTAAATAAGATTAATAGATGCGTACAATCCCTGGGGAAATAAAATATAGATTCAACTCATGCCTCGAAAAATAATATTGTTATATTTCCTTTCTGTTTTTCCATATTTTGCATTGCATATGACAAATTATAAAATGTTTAAAAAATTAATATGTTATGCAAAAATTATAAGATATTGGTAAATATTTGTTGTTCATTTTCTTGTAATAAATAGAATAAAAGGGAACATTAAAAAATGAGAATTATATTTTTAAAAAAAATTGTTTGAGATTTCTTCCTCTGTGAGTTTTTATAATAATTCGGGTTATGAGTTGTGCCATGATCTAAAATAAGTAAGCCAAAAAACGATTTTACAACTCTCTAAGATGGAGGTGCGATCAATAGAACGTTCCAAAAAATTGATATCTCTTGATATAGATGTGGAAGTGGTATCCAATACCACTAAAAAATTAAAAAATTTTAAGGGATGGACACACCTGTTCATGCACAGTGAAATAACATTTTCTCAATTCTTAATCCATGTTATTTTATTTTCATAATAAAACTTTAACCCCCACATTTTATTTAAACTAATAATGTGTAGATTACCGATATACCAAGATTGTCACGAGATGTGGAGTAAAGCCAGGCGCAAGGCCCTTAAAAGAGGGGATACACTACCACTATCCTCGATAAGCAATGTTATTCCCAAAAGTACCACTTCTATATCAGTCGCCACAAATTTAAGCTCGATCAATTATGTATCAAATAATTTAAATAATGCAAAGAAAATTTCGTCTGATCAAAAGCTAGTGCAATTAGGTAAAAATAATTTTTTTTAATACTAAAGTATAATATTCTCTTAAGAATGTATTTTATTTATTAAAGATTGATAAGTATGTTAGAAATATTATTGAATTATATATTTTTTTAAAAAAATTATCATAACAAAAAAAAAATATGTTTTCCTTTTGAATTTTATCCCGAATTTTTTGCACATTTGGTGAAATTTATCTTCTAACTTTAAATCAATAAATAGAAATATCATGATTGTTAATTTTTTGAAAATTCTTTTCATAATATTATTAGTCAAATAATATAATATTTGAAAATTTATAATTCAATATTTATTTTATGTCACTTCACATATAAGCCATAATTTAAATAATATATTATTTTTTGAAAAGCTAAATAATTTGTATCGTTATTATTCATACAAATATTAAATAATTTGATTCGTTTTAAAATAACTCCAAATAATGATCTATTTTGTGTTGTTAAACAGCTTGTTTTGAGCCGATTCTTAAAAACTGCAAGCTCAATATTTCATCAAGAAAAGATATGTTCTTAAAAGGAACAAAGGTCAAGACATATATTATCGAAATTTCGAGACCTAGGCAATATTTTTCTGGCTAAAATATTGAGTTAATCTTTTTAAAAATCGGGTCAAACCCAGATTGAAAATCTTATATACCATGCACAAAAAATCTTTTAAAAAGATTGACGTTAATCACTAAAATTATAGTTTTATATAATCATACCTATAAACTGTTAAAACAATAGGCTCTTTGCCTCGAACTAAATCCGTCATTCTTCCTTCTAACGACCTTCTCCCTATACCCAATTACCAAGCTCAAGTTGCACCAAAATCGGTCACCAAAAATAAGCAAGAAAGAGAGGAATGTATGAAAAATATATCCCTGGCTTCTTTTCAAAAACCGGGTGGTAGCTTTACCTATGACCCCGACCCGCTCAAGCGTTTAGCTAGGAATGATTCATTGAGCGATTCCTATGGCTCCTCTTCGTCATCATCCATCTCCAAAATCGATGCCAAAGTCGAGGTATAATCTTAGAATCTAATAGTTGAGAAAATTGTTGCATGAGTGATTGATTCTATCGTAAAATACGAAAATAGCAATTCATATGACAAATAGATTATGAATCTTTTGCCCTAAATAGGCATAACCATATATAAGTATTTATCTATCAAAGTTTGGTTCTTATCTCTATTTACTCCTCCCCCACCTCTCCTATTCCAGATAAGTTCACTCCATATACTTAGGTGACGTCTTGTAATTAACTTATATTATCGGTGACAAATTGATTAAGTTATGATAAATAAATATTTGGGAGGGGAGATCAAATTTAAATCATATGGGTTTTTGTTTTAATATTCTTTTCTTGAAAAATGTTTATTAAATTCACTCTTACCTCCCACCCATTTAACCTTTTACTGAAGTTGTTATAACTGGCTATCTTCTATAAATAACCTTTAACTCATAAAAATTTGTTCTCCTTGGCAAAATTTAGATTATTTATAATATTCGGTTAATAATCATTATAGGATATCATATATGATTGAACCATACACCTTGACATGATGCAGTCACTGCCATATATGGTTATTTAGGGTTTGGAATTAATATAATTCAATGTTGGTAATTTATAATGAAATTATTATTCTTCAAAAAAACTTTAATAATTCCTATTTCTTATTCACAAAAGCTCCAAAAACCAGTTGTTTCGGCACATAATTCTTCGATTTCGAAAACAGGCTCCTCGTTCACAGACAATAACAATGTGAAGACCAATTCGGCCCAACAACTAGCCTTCCTAGCCGACCTGCTGAACGAACGCAAAGTTGTCAACTTAGCTCAACTCGCAAGTTTGGTCAACGTGGATTTGGACCCAGCCACAGCTAAACAACTAGCTCATGTTGATGGTAAGGTCTTATTAGCTGCTGCCCTAGCGCAGGCTGGCAAAGCTCCACATTCGCAACCTACAGCCCAACACCCTCAACCCCCACCACCATTGCCTCCCCCACCAATCCCTCCTACTCTTCCACCTCCACCAATTCCACCTCCGTTCATTATGGCGAATCCTCATAGTTCTCTCATTCCTTCCCCATACAACCATCACCCGCCTCATCCTCCCTCAGTGGGCCACTATTTCCCACAGGTTCCCATGCCATTTCCTCCACCCCCTGGGGTTCCTTACACACGGCATTGAATTTTATTTATACTTATTATGCATATAAAAAAATCTCAAATTTATGCTGTAACATGCAAGAACGTGATATTATTGGTGCCCTCCTGAACCGCCTCGCATTTTTGTGTTATAAACTGAGGTCACCCTAGAAAATTGTATCTTCTCTTAAAAGTTCTTACAACACATACACATACAGGACACAGGCACGATTATAGTAATGATGTTTTAAAAGAATAACTTTATAAGTTATTTATATTTAAAAATATGCATCATATTACTCAAACGTAAAATAGTTATATATGTTTCATTCGTTTTCCATTTATTATTTTATATATGGAATTAAATTATTTTTTTACCCACTCTCCTCCCCACTATATTTCATCCCATAAATATTGACCTTAGATAAAGTTACGTGGTAACAAAACCAAAATTATTTAATACATATCAATGACATGTTATTTATAAAATATACGGTGATCTTTTTTTCGCAAAAATTTTATATTATTTCGTGTTTCTTCTTATGAGTGTGTTATATACGATTTCAGTTGTGCGAATGATTATAAAATAAAAATAACTATATATTTATATTTTCAAAACCATTTTTGTTATACAATATTCCAAGAGTTATTTTAATAAATAAATATTTTTGGTAATTATTATAGTACCTTTCACGCTCAGGCCATATATTTCTTCACGTTGCTTTTAAAACGGTCAAAAATTTATAATGGTAACTTGTATCTTTCTACCCAATTATTATTAAATTTTATGCACTTATTAATTGACATATATCAGGAATTAATAGGATTTTAGTTTTTAACCTATTAATATTATTAATTCTGCTGAGTTATTTTAGTATGTATAAATTATTAATTTACATATATCAAGTTTTTAACCTAAAAAACTCGTCTCCATCTTTAAGTTAAACTTGGATATTGAGTTATTTAGGCTAGCTCCATTGGACTTTGTCAAAATTGATTCAAGCAACACTAATCACGGCCTATTGATAATTATTTGATTTAAAGAAATACAAATAACTATTCGATTCGAGAAATACGAACGATAATTTTTATAAAAAAAATTGACTAATAATAAATTTAAAATTATTTGTGTTCTTAAATTTTTTAAAAATCGTAATTATTCTAATTATTTCTTAATTTTTGAAACTAGGCCGGGTTTTAACAATCACAGCATATTTCAGACTACTCCACTCCAGCATGTTCTTTTCATTGTTATTTTACAGGCACAAATATTATAACAAGAAACAATTAGAGAAAATTAGTTTAAAAATATAATTATTTTTTGATTGTTATCTTACGTAAGAATATGATTTATGCAACAAATATTTTTGGATTTTAGCTTTTCTTTATTCTGGACTATATGAAATGTAGGAAAAATTTAGTTTTTAAAGATTCGGATCATTCCTATTCCCATTATTTCCATTTTACGGAAGCCTAATCATCAAAGACCTCATTTAGAATGCTTGCACAAAAAAAATACACACAGTGTCCAAAAACCCGGATGGTCTATTAGATTTTATTTACTGATTTATATAATATTTTTTTAAAAATATTTTTGTAATTTACTTTGATTTCCAAACAGCAGGCTTTATGCATACCTTTTTTTTAAAGCAGAAAATTAGTGTTACTCAATTTAACTTGATTTTTTTTTGATATTGTATGATTAATTAATTCGATAATTTTTATTTAGCTCAGAATGTTTTTCCCTATTATAGATTAGACATGTGCCTTCCATGCATTAATTCTATCCGACGCTTTCGATTAATGATAAGAATAGCCAATTTTGATATTAAGAGAATGAGTATTATAATGTTCTATATACACTTTTTTGCAAAATGCGTTTTTTTTCGATAAATCAATCCATCATCAACTAACTTCCAGATCAATCATCAATAAAAATGTTAAAATGTAATTTAGAATAATCCTTTATTTGCATTATCATGGTGTGATCCATCTAAAATACAAAAAATTTATTTTTTTGATGTTCTCTTAATAAATAGAATAGAATACTCTAATTATCTTCCAACGTTATGGAGTTATAAATCGAAGGAAATTTTGGTTATGATCTATTTTTTTAGAAAATACCTATTTGGGGGATGTGGGAAAGGCTTAAAATAAAATCTAATTTGGAAATGATATTAATTAATACTGTAAATTTTTAAAAGCAGATTTGGGTTATTATATTTAATTAAAGGTACAGAAAACGATAAATAAAAATAGTAAATATTAAAAATCAAAATTGTTGGCTACTATAGAATGACTACCGGTGTTGAACAGCTTGACTAACTCAATATTTTATCCAGAAAAATTAAGCCTAAGCATCGAGTTTTCACTAATAGATGCCAAAACCTTTTGTACTATCCTTAAACAAAATTTTCTATCTTGCCTAATATTTTTCTGGGAAAAGTATAGAATTTTGACCTAACCCTTAAAATATATTTAATTGATTTCTTTTTTTTTGTGATAGATATTAGAGCTCGGCATACGACCTATTTTTGCTTAGTCCTGAAGAAATAAAAAGATCTTACTCCTAAATCTCCCCCATCTATTTTCTCAGTAAGACCCTTTCAGACTGATTAAAAATTTTACATTTTTTAAATAGAAAAATCTATAAGGTCAGATCGAAAAAAATAATACACTGACTATTTAAAATGAATAACAAAAGTTTCGGAGAATTTCAAGCAACCTAATATGACAAATAAATTTTGATTCTGTTGACATTACCATAACAAATCACCCTTTATTTTCTTACAGGAAATAAATACAGTAAGAACCGCTTATTTGAGTAACCTCAGGACCAAAATATTTAAAAATTTCACAATTATACGATTAAAAATTAATAAATTTATTTTACGTTTATGTTTTTTTTTATAAAAATATTTAACAAATTTTGCTTTATAAATACAATTTTTAATTGATTAGATTTCAAAACGATCAAGTAAACATAAATTTTGTCTAGCATGTTTAATGTATGAATTTGATTTTTCCTACATAAATATTAATTACAAAAGGATTATCCGAAATTCAAACAAAAACAAATGTATAAATTAATTATTTTTTATATATACTTTACTAAAAAAAAATTTTTAGTGAATATTTTATTCAATAAATTTGCCTCCCATGTTCTTAACAAGTATATTTCAATACATTAATACATTTATGGCTATTGTTACGGAATGCAAGGTGTCGGTTCACATGCTAAAAAGATATTTTGAACCCCATATCTATACATCATATTTTTTTGTATTTTTGAAGCTAACCCTACCTCATATATGATATTTTGTAGAAATCAAGAAGATGAAATAAATAATATATATCTTAAAACAAATTTGAAAAATTGTGAAATTAACCTTATACTTTTAAAGCAAACCCAGGACTTCCCCTATATTTAATATATACCATCCCCACTATCACCAGGTATTGGACTTTACATAGATTCCTTTCATTTTAATCAAATTTAAGTATCATTTTAGTATGTGACTATTTACCAACATGGTGTTCCCGTTAGCCAATTTTATAATTATACTTTTTTTTACCTTTGATCAAATTTAATATATTACGTTACAATAAAGATATTCATTTTTTCTTTAATCTTTGTTGATTTTTTTTAAAATATCTAAGGGGTCAATCAAGAAAATATAAATATTAAAAAGGAGGATAGATAAAAATTTAAGTTTATTTTAAAAGTATTTTGTTATAATTCCCATAAAATTTGATTTGAAATTACAATGATAGATTATAAAATAAAGATAATTTTTTTGCTACTTAAATTTTTTTTTATTGTGATAAGAGTTATCAAAGACTATGTGGTTAATTATTTTTATTATTATATTCTCTAGTCTCTAGCTTTCTTAATGAATGCATATCGATAAATAGCTTGGTTTTTTTGTGATCAAATTATCAGATATATCTAGATTCCCTTCACCATTTTACAGCTTTCATTACCTTCTACAAAATAAACTAATCTTTTCAAAATAATTTATTATAAATGTAAATATATTACAGGCCTCCTGAACGAAGGTTTATTAATGAATCACTTTTAAAAAAATGGTGTAATCAGATGATAAAATCTCTTTTCATTTAAACTACCCTATGAAATGTTGCCAGGTAAAATTAATCTTTGCATGCTTGAATTAGCCGATGATTCGGGTAGAGTAGAGTAAAAATCAGATCTTCTTTAATAACCAGTTGAATATGAACAAAATTTCGGATATTCCATGAATTTAGGCCGCTATCAGAATTTTTTTTGAATATCGAAGAAAATTTAGTAATTAACATGTTTCCGGTATTTTAGAAAAATCTCCATCTGCCACTAATTAGGTAACAATTAAAGCTAATATAAAAAAAACAGTTTATCGCTATAGCTGTCAAGTAAGTATTAATCTTTTTAGAGGTTTGAGAACCCGATTTTTCGTTACACTCTGGAACCTTTCCTACACGCGGTAGAGAAAGATGATTAGTATTATTTGTAGCCATTTCTGATGAATATGATTTTCTGTTCAAACAGAAAACATTAATATATCAATCATGTATGGTCCAATATGTTAATTTTGTTTGTCTTTTGAGGGGTCACTACATGTAGTTGACTCTAGATTTTTCAGTATATCGGTTAAACCGTATGTTTCTTGGAACCATTGAATCACAGTTGCAGATTAATGGGTTGCCTATAATGCATACATATTATACACATATAGCATATGTATTGGATATAGTGTACACAACTATGAAAACCAATGCTGAACATTTAATATTTTACATTATTAAATGTTTTGAAAATAATATAATAAAAATTGATTAAGGTATTCCACAGTCCTGCATCTTACGCGATATTTATTTTTTTTTGAAATTTATTTTAAAAACACTCTCAAATCTTATTTTGTCTTAGGCCCCGATCTCAGCACAAATTTTAATTTTTGGTCCTATGCAGTAGCATCACTAACTTTTACAATCTAGGGGGCTCAAATAAGTAATTAAGATTACTAAGTTTGGATAATAGCTCGATGAGCAACTCTTTAAACTTGTTTCCGCTGGGAGATAATTCTTGAATACTATTTCAGGAATCATCCAGCATATCAATGGGCAAGTAAGAGAGTTGATTATCACGTAGGATTAATATTTTAAGAGCGTTACAACCAGCCTTGGTGAGAGATCCGTCCTTGAACATTTTTAGATAAATCTATCTCAGTCAGATTATTAGGAATATGACGATATTTGATTCTGGTTATGTTAGAATGGTCACTTTCTTCTTCTTCGCCTATTTAATTATCGATGGAGGAGTGCATTGTTGATCACATGAGAGTTAATAACTGCTTATTTCTGAATAAACTGAGAACTTCAAAGTTTGGGATCCTCTGAAAAGTGCCTATCATAATGTTATCGATATGATTAGCCGATAAATCTAGCCTCCTTAATTCGGGCCTAATGTTATCCAGAGTTTCAAATTTGGTAAAATTACCAGAGGGGAAAAACAAGTTTTTAAACGAGGGGTTGAGATCATTGGCAAGGCAATTTGCTTATCAATTTAAAAGTTTTTATATTTTTCAAGGCTTGAAATCCC